GGAAGACGACGAGTTCAAATGTGATTGCGGCTTCGAATGCGAAGACCGTGTTCATGTAGTCGCGGAATGTCCGTTGTACAAGAAGGAGAGGGAAGTGTACGTGACTGAGCTGGGAAAAATAGATAGGACGTACAGGGAGATGTTTGAGGTATGGAATAGAGAGGAAAGGGCGGTAGCTGTACTGGGGCATAGGAGGTGGGTTGAAAAGAAAAGGCGGGAAGGGATATCGTTGGGATAGACAGACTAGGGAAGACATTTTTGAGCCACCTTTGGCAAAGTAGAAAGGAACGATTGGCCATCGGTGATCGATCCTGTGGGAACAATGCTCCGTCCTCTCGAGGACGTGTGGTCAATGATCTAACCGCTAAGGCATGCAAAACATGAGAATACGCCCCCCCCCCACCAAGGCGCTTCAGGCTTGGTGATGTTAGAGCCTGGTCCGGTGAGAACCCAGCGTGCTCCGTCCCGGCTCTGCAGGGGTGCGAGGTCAATGGTCGAAATAACGACTACGGAGTGCAGGACCATGAGTGCCCTGCCTTCCTCCCTCAAAACCCAACAGCCTGGTGTTCGTGCCCCCCCCCGGCCGTTGACGCACCTGGTGGCCTCCCTAGTGCAGGAAGTTCACCCAGCATCGGTCCCTTGTGCAGCACCTCGCCACCGTCGGGACCACCACCGCCGCTGCCGGCCCGTCCCTGGGGGCTCCGCGACCTCGACGGAGAAGACGCCTTCGTCGCCGTAGCCCCGCCTGCCGACCCCCTTCCTTCCCCCCCGGCCTTTTCCTCTTCATTGTCCGCCTACATGTCAAGCCGATCACCATCATCATCACCCGGAAAATGTCCCAATGGAGAACGCCGCCAATGAAGTGTGAAGCCGCAGGTAGTATTGATGCTTTCCCGCTTTTGTTCCGATTTGGAACCATGCCACGATTGGGATAGACGGGCTACGGCAGTACGTCGCTGCAGCTTTATAGAGCCAACCACTACGGGGTACGGGTGTAGGACTCGAAGCGGGATACTTTTGTCTTGTGTGGTGGCTTGTCGGGCGATGCCAATACAGGGTTCACTCGGGGTCATGATGCGGGTGGGGAACGCGCAGATCTTCCGTGCGCTCTACAACGGGGGGATTAAATCGTCGAGATCCTCCTACGAATCGGCAAGGAAAGACCGGGCAGGGTAGGCGCAGACCTCGACGGCGACGCTCCAGTGCGAAACCGGACAACGAACGACAACTCGGGCAAAGAGAAGACGACAACGACCACTACGGTTTTGCGAAAAGCCGGAAAAAATACGCTATTTTACCTCGCCGGCCGTAACACGGACGAACATCTGCCCCTGCTCGTTGACGCACACGGAGAACGTCGGGGTCGGCATCGTCTTGGCCGCCTCCTCGCCCCCGATCTCCCGCAGCAGGTCCCGGATGGGCTGGAAGCTCGTCATGTTGTACGGCATAGCCCCCTGAGCCTGTTTGGGTTGATACGGCCGGCGGCGTGTTGGTGTTGTTTGGGGTCTAAGGCTATTTTTTTGGGTGCCGCAGGAAAGATGGACACGGTAGGTTTCGATCCGGCGAGTGCTTCTCGTGATGAGAGTCGCAGCGGGTTCGGGGGGGGGGCGGGTGTTGGGTATGTACTCATACAAATGCATGCCTTCGTCGTTAGACCATTGACGACGCGTCCTCGAGAGGACGGAGCATTGTTCCTAAAGGACTGATCACCGATGGCCAAATAGGTCCTTCCTACATGGCCAAAAGGTGGGTCCTGGGGCTACTACTGCACATAGATAGTCGTTGAGTGCGAGGTGCACCACAACGGAACAGCGCGGCCACGACAGCAGCGGCGCCAAAAACACCTCCAAGCAGCAGCAGCCGTCGCCATGGTGGTCATAGCTACTGAAGGGCGCATGGAGATCAAGATGGGATATACGTCACGTTTTGATGCAGTACTCAGCGTCGCAGTCTATGGAGGCGTAGAAGAACGGTCGGACGTCTTGTGGGAGGCACGTGTTTCGGAAAGCCAAACGTATTCGCTCAGCAGGGAAAACATGGGTTTGTTCTCTAGTGGCAGCCTGGCATCTCAGACCAGGCCACCTGTGCAGGCAGGCAGCATATCGAGGAGGTAGGAAACGCGGTGGGCGTGTGTGAAACGTCCCGCGGCAGTGATGTCGTGGCCGCCGTTCTGCTTCAGAGTCGGGAGAGGCGTTCGAGTTGTGTCCTTTCCTATGCTTGGTCCTTTGGTTTCTGCGAGGCGCCAAGTACCAGCGGTTTGGTCTCGACTGATCTTAGAGAAAGGCACACATACATACATCCGACGGACCACACCCATTGTGTGGGCTCCTTCTCAAAGCGTTTCGGAGACACACGTGATCTCTACCTATCTCTCTCCTTTCCGCGTGCCGTGCGGATTTACCGCAGCCCGACCACACAGATACTACACTTTAATGTCATATATCCCGTGGCAACGTTCCCCCATCACAACGGCTACAACCACGTCCAAATGGCAAGTCGCGCAACCAACTCTTGTCCCTCCCCTCACGTTCTTCTTGGTAGGGTCTGCCCCGTGCACCAGGAGCAGCTGCACGGTGTCAAGGTGGTTGAAGTAGCACGCCTCGTGGAGCGGAGTCCACCCCATGCCGTTCGGTTGGTCCTTGTCGCTCCCGTTCTCCAGGAGCATCTTGCAGATCTAGCCGGTTAGTCGTTGTTAATTGTCGCACAGAGGTAGGTGGGCGGCGGGCGTTGGGGGCTGTTGTTGTTGTCGTCGTTGTTGCTGGTTGATGTGTCAGGTCTTTTCGTGGAGGCGATCCACACTTTCAAGGTGGATGGAGATGTTCCAATCCCGCGCCCCCCTTCTTGTTGGTCGCGTTAAGATCAAGCTGTCGTCATTAGTAGTTGTGTGGTTCTCGAGCAAAGCGTCGAAACGCCTTCCCGTTCGGTTCTGATTTTGCGTGGCCACAAGCGCTCGAGCGTGCCTAGAAGCACCATCTTCTAGTTTTGAAAGAAGTTCGCTATTGCCTGTGCCGCTGGGACGAGCGCGTGAATCTTCGGGGTATAGCCAAGCGGGACGGAGCAACCGGCTGTGTTTGAGTCCAGGGATGGGCATGCCGAAGCTCCAATGGCCCGGTAGTGCAACGCCAAGGAACATCGCGAGATCCGACTAGCGAACGGAGGCAATGATCTGCCAAGAAGCCAAAATGACGAGGACAACAATGACCAACAAAACAACAATGTAATAGTAATAATACCAACTGGAAGAAAGCTTTTCGCGAATGGTGAACAGCTTCTTTGTCCATCTAGCTTCATGTCAGTCTCATCTCATTCATGCCCTCCCCTGAAACCGAAAATTGAAATCTCCTTGAAGCCGTCTATGAAAGACCTCCAACGCTTTGTTATTTTTATGTGTTCTTGGACTGCAAAAAAAACAAGAGCAATGCCCACTTTTCCAATCGCTGCCATTATTTTGTGTGTTCGTCTGATAGTACTATTCTGTAGTGCTATTTAGCTGTCACCGTCTGACTGAAGTATGTGTTCCGGTAGGACTTGTTCTAGTCGTCACCGCCTGACTGAAGCATTGGTCTGGCTATTTGTAGACATATAATGCTACAGTAACTGTCACCGTTTGAAACCCCCCGCGGGCCGCCGCTCCTAGGGCAGACTGCGGAGCCCCCCGCATGATGTGCGCGCCGCAAGAAGCCTTTGCGTCGGGGATGTGGGCCACGTCCGCCCCCGCTTTCACCAACAGCGCGGCGATGGCCGTAAAGCCACGATGGCAAACTTCCTGCTCCAACAAAAACGTTGCGGGGGTTTCACGACGGAAGAAGGCTTCAGTGAAGGGGGGAAGGGCGTACTCATGTTTAGCATGCCCTGTAGCGGTTGGACCGTTGACCACGCGTCCTCGAGAGGACCGGGCATCAAGGGGGAGGGGGGAGTAAGCTTCGACGTGAGAAGCGGCACGCAGCGTGAGACTGGCTTTTTCTTTGGGAACCTAGGTGTGCAGCTGAACCAGACAGGCTTCTTAGTTGGCCTAGCTTCCACATTTGGCACAAACGCTTGGAAGAAGAGTGCTCACCAGCAGGGGTCCCCAGTCGAAGTCGTTCCGGCAGTTAGGGTCGGCGCCGGCCTTGATGAGCGCCTCCACAAGCTCCTTCACGCTATGTAGAAGTTGTGCAAAACGAGAGTGGCGCTCTAGGCTGTGAACGGTCATTGATGCTCTGTCTGACGAGTGGGACATGGTTTGAGTCACACCCCCAAACTTTCGCTTCTACCGTAGATTTCAAAGCCAGTACAGTGGTGCTTCCATAGATTGCGCCGCCGGGTTCCGTTGACGGGTCACAGCTTGACTGTTAATTAGGGTTTCCTTCATTTTTCTCTTTCTATGCACACACGACAAATTTTCAAGCCCCGGGCTGGTATTCCAGGGTCTTATCTCGATCGCACGTCACGTAAAAAGTGGGATAGGGGGTGTGGGTCGGCGCCAACTACCTTCCACCATGCCGTGCCACGAAGTCACCATAAACTCTCTAGCCAGGACGCGAAATCCCGGCGGGCGCTGGTACATTACGCGTCGTGAACATATGGGAATGATGCACGTACTGCTGCCTGGTACAATTTTTCGATTCGGTCGGTCTACAAATAGCGCTTTAATTATACTCTTTCTCTCTCACTTACCCGTACGCACAGGCCATGTGTAGTGGAGTGAAGCCCGAGTTGAAGTTGCCTGGACCCCTCTTTGTCCTTGGGTTCAGATCTCCGCCCATGGCCACCACTTCCTGCGATTGCAGAGAGACATCCCCGGAGGTGGTGATCATCGAGAATTTTTCTCGAGTGCGCACGGAACCACATCGGAGCTGTACTTCATACATCCCCAACAAGTTCCGGTGCACACAAACGCATCCATTTTAGTCGCGTACCGGAAGCATCTGACGACGCTCATTCAACGCCGACAATATCGCGAAAATGGTTCAAAATGATATACGTGCACATAATGGTTCCTTTGACAAGGGGCTCCACCCCCCCCCCCCCCCCCCCCCCCCCCCCCCCCCCCCCCCCCCCCCCCCCCCCCCCCCCCCCCCCCCCCCCCCCCCCCCCCCCCC